TATGTACCTGTTGTGTGGGTGACTATAGTGTATGTACCTGTGGAGTGTGTGACTAAAGAGTGTGTACCTGTGGAGTGGGTGACTACAGTGTATGTACTTATGGAGTGGGTGACTCAGAATCTGTACTTGTGGAGTGGGTGACTGCAGTGTATCTACTTATGGAGTTTGTGACTACAGTGTATGTACTTGTGGAGTGGGTGACTCAGAATCTGTACTTGTGGAGTGGGTGACTGCAGTGTATCTACTTATGGAGTTTGTGACTATAGTGTATGTACCTGTTGTGTGGGTGACTATAGTGTATGTACCTGTGGATTGTGACTAAAGAGTGTGTACCTGTGGAGTGGGTGACTACAGTGTATGTACTTGTGGAGTGGGTGGCTATAGTGTCTGTACTTGTGGAATGGGTGGCTATAGTGTATGTACCTGTGGAGTGAGTGACTATAAAGTCTGTACCTCTTGGTTGGTGACTATAGTGTATGTACCTGTGGTGTGGGTGACTATAGTGTATGTACCTGCGGTGTTGGTGGGTATAGAGTCTGTACCTGTGGAGTGAGTGACTATAGCATATGTACCTGTCGTATGGGTGGCTGTAGTATATGTACCTGTGGAGTGAGTGACTATAGGATATGTACCTGTGGAGTGGGTGACTATAGGATATGTAACTGTTGAGTTGGTTGGTATAGAGTCTGTACCTGTGGAGTGAGTGACTATAGCATATGTACCTGTGGAGTGAGTGACTATAGGATATGTACCTGTGGTGTGGGTGGCTATAGTGTATGTAACTGTCGAGTTGGTGGGTATAGAGTCTGTACCTGTGGAGTGAGTGACTATAGCATATGTACCTGTGGTGTGGGTGGCTATAGTGTATGTACCTGTGGAGTGAGTGACTATAGGATATGTACCTGCAATGTGGGTGGCAATAGTGTATGTACCTATCTAGTGAGTGACTACAGAGTCTATACCTGTTCTGTGGGTGACTACAGAGTCTGTACCTGTTCTGTGGGTGACTATAAGATAGATACGTGTGTAGTAGGTGACCATAGAATCTGTACCTGTTGTGTCTGTTGCTATAGTGTCTGTACCTGTGGAGTGAGTGACTACAGAGTCTATACCTGTTCTGTGGGTGACTACAGAGTCTGTACCTGTTCTGTGGGCGACTATAAGATATGTACCTGGGGAGTGGGTGACCATAGAATCTGTACCTGTGGTGTGGGTTGCTATAGTGCTATACCTGTGGTGTGGGTGGCTATAGTGTCTGTACCTGTGGTGTTGGTTGCTATAGTGTCTGTACCTGTGGAGTGAGTGACCACAGAGTCTATACCTGTTCTGTGGGTGACTACAGAGTCTGTACCTGTTCTGTGGGCGACTATAAGATATGTACCTGGGGAGTGGGTGACCATAGAATCTGTACCTGTGGAGTGGGTGGCTATAGTGTCTGTACCTGTGGTGTTGGTTGCTATAGTGTCTGTACCTGTTGTGTAGGTGACCATAGTGTCTCTACCTGTTCTGTGGGTGGCTATAGTGTATGTAACTGTGGTGTAGTTGGCTAAAGTGTCTGTAATTGTGGAGTGGGTGGCTATAGTGTCTGTACCTGTGGTGTGGGTTGCTATAGTGTCTGTACCTGTGGTGTGGGTGGCTATAGTGTCTGTAGCTGTGGTGTGGGTGGCTATAGTGTATGTACCTGTGGAGTGAGTGACTACAGAGTCTATACCTGTTCTGTGGGTGACTACAGAGTCTGTACCTGTGCTGTGGGTGACTATAAGATATGTACCTGGGGAGTGGGTGACCATAGAATCTGTACCTGTGGAGTGGGTGGCTATAGTGTCTGTACCTGTGGTGTTGGTTGCTATAGTGTCTGTACCTGTTGTGTGGGTGACTATAGTGTCTCTACCTGTGGTGTGGGTGGCTATAGTGTATGTAACTGTGGTATGGTTGGCTAAAGTGTCTGTAATTGTGGAGTGGGTGGCTATAGTGTCTGTACCTGTGGTGTGGGTTGCTATAGTGTCTGTTCCTGTGGTGTGAGTGGCTAAAGTGTCTGTAGCTGTGGTGTGATGGCTATAGTGTCTGTACCTGTGGTGTGTTGCTATAGTGTATGTACCTGTGGAGTGAGTGGCTATAGTTTCTGTACCTGTGGAGTGGATGGCTATAGTTTCTGTACCTGTGGAGTGGGTGGCTATAGCGTCTGTACCTGTGGTGTGGGTGGCTATAGTGCATGTACCTGTGGTGTGGGTGGCTGTAGTGTCTGTAGCTGTGGGTGTGTGAATACAGAGTCTGTACCTGTTCTGTGGGTGACTTTAAGATATGTACCTGTGGAGTGGGTGACCATAGAATCTGTACCTGTGGAGTGGGTGGCTATAGTGTCTGTACCTGTGGTGTTGGTTGCTATAGTGCTATACCTGTGGTGTGGGTGACTATAGTGTCTTTACCTATGGTGTGGGTTGCTATAGTGCTATACCTGTGGTGTGGGTGACTATAGTGTATGTACCTGTGGTGTGGATGGGTATAGAGTCTGTACCTGTGGAGTGAGTGACTATAGCATATGTACCTGTCGTATAGGTGGCTATAGTATATGTACCTGTAGAGTGAGTGACTATAGGATATGTACCTGTGGTGTGGGTGGCTATAGTGTATGTAACTGTCGAGTTGGTGGGTATAGAGTCTGTACCTATGGAGTGAGTGACTATAGCATATGTACCTGCAATGTGGGTGGCAATAGTGTATGTACCTGTCTAGTGAGTGACTACAGAGTCTATACCTGTTCTGTGGGTGACTACAGAGTCTGTACCTGTTCTGTGGGTGACTATAAGATATGTACCTGGGGAGTGGGTGACCATAGAATCTGTACCTGTGGAGTGGGTGGCTATAATGTCTGTACCTGTGGTGTTGGTTGCTATAGCGTCTGTACCTGTGGAGTGGGTGGCTATAGTGTCTGTACCTGTGGTGTGGGTTGCTATAGTGCATGTACCTGTGGTGTGGGTGACTATAGTGTCTGTACCTGTGGTGTGGGTGGCTATAGTGTATGTACCTGTGGAGTGGGTGGCTATAGTGTCTGTACCTGTGGTGTGGGTTGCTATAGTGTATGTACCTGCACTATGGGTGGCTATAGTGCATGTACCTGTGGTGTGGGTTACTATAGTGTCTCTACCTGTGGTGTGGGTTACTATAGTGTCTCTACCTGTGGTGTGGGTGGCTATAGTGTATGTACCTGCGGTGTTGGTGACTAAAGAGTCTCTACCTGTGGTGTGGGTGGCTATAGTGTATGTACCTGCGTTGTGGATGGCTATAGTGTATGTACCTGTGGTGTGGGTGACTATAGTGCCTGTACCTCTGGTGTGGGTGGCTATAGTGTCTGTACCTGTGGAGTGGGTGGATATAGTGTCTGTAACTGTGGTGTGGGTGGCTATAGTGTATGTACCTGCGGTGTTGGTGACTAAAGATTCTGTACCTGTGGAGTGGATGACTTTAATGTCTGTACCTGTGGTGTGTGTGACTATAGTGTCTGTACCTGTGGTGTGTTTGACTATAGGGTCTGTACCTGTGGTGTGGGTGGCTATAGTACCTGTACCTGTGGTGTTGGTGGCTATAGTGTATGTACCTGCGCTATGGGTGGCTATAGTGTATGTACCTGTGGTGTGGGGGGCTATAGTGTATGTACCTGTGGTGTGGGTGGCTATAGTGTATGTACCTGTGGTGTGGGTGGCTATAGTGCCTGTACCTGTGGTGTGGGTGGCTATAGTGCCTGTACCTGTGGTGTGAGTGGCTATAATGCCTGTACCTGTGGTGTGGGTAGCTATAGGGTATGTACCTGTGGTGTGGGTGGCTATAGTGTATGTACCTGTGGTGTGGGTGACTATAGTGCCTGTACCTGTGGTGTGGGTGGCAAAAGTGTCTGAACCTGTGATGTGGGTGGCTATAGTGCCTGTACCTGTGGTGTGGATGACTATAGTGTATGTACCTGCGGTGTTGGTGACTAAAGATTCTGTACCTGTGGAGTGGATGACTATAATGTCTGTACCTGTGGTTTGTGTGACTATAGTGTCTGTACCTCTGGTGTGGGTTCCTATAGCGCCTGTACATGTGGTGTGGGTGGCTATAGTACCTGTACCTGTGGAGTGGATGACTATAGTGTCTGTACCTGTGGTGTGTGTTGCCATAGTGTCTGTACCTGTGGAGTGAGTGGCTATAGTTTCTGTACCTGTGGAGTGGGTGGCTATAGTGCCTGTACCTGTGGTGTGGGTGGCTATAGTGTCTGTACCTGTGGAGTGGGTGGCTATAGGGTTCGTACCTGTTGAGTGGGCTAACTATAGAGTCTGTACCTGTGGAGTTGGTGACTATAGTGTATGCACCTGTGGAGTGGATGACTATTGTGTATGTACCTGTGGATTGGGTGGCTATAGTGTCTGCATCTGTGGCGTGAGTGGCTATAGTGTCTGTACCTAGGAACTGCAGAGTCAGTACCTGCAGAGTGAGGAACTAGATTGTCAGTTCCTGCAGAATGAGGAACTAGATTTGTCAGTACCTGCAGAGTGAGGAACTAGATTGTCAGTTCCTGCAAAATGAGGAACTAGATTTGTCAGTACCTGCAGAGTGAGGAACCAGATTGTCAGTTCCTGCAGAATGAGGAGTGAGTGAGTGAGTATGGTATTACGCTGCTTTTAGCAATATTCCAGCAATATCACGGCGGGGGACACCAGAAATGGGCTTCACACATTGTACCCATGTCGGGAATCGAACCCGGGTCTTCGGTGTGGCGAGCAAACGCTTTAACCACTAGGCTTCCCGACCGCCCCTGCAGAATGAGGAACTAGATTGTCAGTTCCTGCAGAGTGAGGAACTAGATTGTCAGTTCCTGCAGAGTGAGGAACTAGATTGTCAGTTCCAGCAGAGTGAGGAACTAGATTGTCTGTACCTGCAGAATGAGGAACTAGATTGTCTGTACCTGCAGAATGAGGAACTAGATTTGGCAGTACCCGCAGAATGAGGAACTAAATTGTCTGTACCTGGAGAGTGAGGAACTTAGTGTCTGCAGGTTTCTCTGCTTCCTGTGCCAGTCTCCATTCTGTGTCACGGAGATCCTACACAACACATAAATTTGGTTTCTGTTTTCATTCTGAAAAATACTGATCTATTCATAATTTGAATGTTTATTCTCAATCACTCAGCCAATTGTGAATCTTAAATAAAGTTTGTAAAGAACAAGTAATGATCAAGTTTGGCTTGCAGTTGCAGTCAGCTAAAATGATACATGAGTTTTCCTACATTAAACCCATGAAGATCCGGGGTAGAATAGATCTTCAGCAACCCATGCTTACCGTAAAAGGCGACAATGTTTGTTGAGGCAACTAACGGGCCTGGGTTATCAGGCTTGCTGACTTGGTTGATGCATGTCATTGAGTAGTATAGGTAATGATGGTTCTGCCGCAACTCCACTGGAGCTGGATTTATTTACCTATACTGCTACTACAGATGGAATTTTTTATGCCAAAATGACTATGCGATTCAATGATAGTCATGATATTAAGTTAAATTGGCTCTAGCTCACCAATACCTGGTATACCTCATTGCTTCTATTAGTATAAAAATGATGATGCGATTCAACGATAGTCGTATTAAAAGAAACATCAATATTAATTAATAATGGATAAAATTTACTATAGCCCACGAGGACATTGGAAAGGTGTAGGAGCAATAAAAAAATTAGCCACCGCGGCTAAGGTATCTAAAGATGTGGCCAAGGATTGGTTAAAGAAACAAGCGATGTGGCAAATATATTTACCGGCACCGCGTTATATACCGAGGAAGAAGTTTGATATTTTTACAACGAATGAAGTTCATCAGGCTGACCTCTTGTTTCTTCCCCACGATAAGGTAAAACGCAAAACGTATAAATACGCTTTAACAGTAGTGGATGTGGCTAGTCGATACAAAGAGGCTGAGCCATTAACTTCGAAAGATTCAACAGAAGTAGCTAATGCACTGAGTCGCATATATAAACGCGGACCTCTAAAATGGCCTAAGCTATTTCAAGTAGATCCCGGTCGCGAGTTTATGGGATCGATAACTAAACTGTTAACAAAGCACCATGTCGAAATCAGGCGTGGTGAAAGAGAGGCCCACCGCAGTCAAGCTATCGTTGAAAGATTTAACCGGATATTAGCGGAACGTTTGTTTGGCTATCAGTATGGGATCGAAATGAAATCGGAACGATTGAGATCAACCAAATGGGTGACACGATTATCAGCCGTTGTATCAGCGCTGAATAATGAAGTAACGAGATTAATAGGGAAGAAACCATCCGATGCTATTAAAATGAAATCCGTGACTTCCGAATCTTCAGCACCGAGGAGAGGCAAAGAACGAAAACTTCCGGATAGAGTAAGGGTAAGATATTTATACCAGCCCGGTGAACTCGAAGGAGGCCTACGTCGCGCAACCGATCCCATATGGTCCCTTAAGACATATAACATTAGTCGATTGGTTACGAAAGAAGGAGAGCCTATTCTTTATTATCTTCAAGATGGACCGGGTAGGGCATTTGTACGAGAAGAGTTGTTCATAGTTCCCGACGGTACAGTATTACCACCATAACCATAAGCATAGGTAGTTACACCATCATTATCAATCCATCTCTTTGTATCTAAGGGGGATAATGATGTCTTGTTCATTCTTAATCCATATATCCTATGATTGTAACTTCTTAAAGAGTTCATCTCGTGTTTGAACGTTCTACCGTTGAATAATGATTCTTTATACTGTTCGTGTTTGATATGCTTTTTTACAACATACTTCTTAACATCCTTAGCTTTTCTTATCTCTCCATTATCGGACTTCTTTATAGAATACATCTTAGGTCTTAATCCCACATACTCCGCTATAGGGGTCCCAGCACATTCATCCTTCATCTTACCTAATACCTTTTTATTTACAACGCTGTGCAGTGGATTATCTTTTGGGTAATCGCTCGTGTCGTACATATCTATTTTTTCTGCCATATCTTTATACACATCCTCGGTTTGTATTTCCATCAACAAAGAATCTGTGTTGGTATATAACACCTCACATCTATCGCCGTATTGCTTCTTAAGTTCGTTGTAATAAAAGTCATACATTAAGTGTTTTGACAAGTCGAGAATACTCATACCGACGTACACCGGTCTGTTGAATTTTATATTACTCTTCTGCATATGCAACGCGGCTAAGTCGTTATCGAATATCTTGCTTCTGTTAAAAGCCGGACTGGCTATAAGTTTCCTGAGTCTTTCTTCCTCATTAAATCTGACTAATTTAACATCAACACGCTTCCTTAGATTCTCCATAGTTTTACCAAATACTGAGTTATTCGTGAGCTTATACAGATTCTTTTCGAAATCGCTGGTAGCTATCTTTCTTAAATCTGTGTTCAACCTTATATAGGGCTCCATCCAAGGGCTTTGATCAAACTTTAGAACTCTGTGTATTTTCTTAAGTTTCATACCTAACGATAGATACAACCTGAGATTTCTGTAGTGAACTATATATTTTGTCTTATCCATCAAATTTGGTACGAGTTTTTCTACGTTAGCTAACCTACTATTATTCATCAAGGAGTGTTGATATTCCGACATCCAATCTTTTATTAACCATTAATCTAGCGGATAACTGTTATGGTCTTTATGTAACGAACTTGGATATTCCAAGTCAACTTCTAGTATGTACCCTTTATTCGCATCATTCACATTGATATCATCGACCCACTCAAAAGCTCCCGTGGGTAAAGGTTGACTCATAGCCCATCCGTACAAATTGTTAGCGTCGAGATATAATATGTGCATATTGGGTTAACTGGGATCATATCCTTCCACTAATTTATTATTAGCCTTAGAATACCTTTTCGCTGCCATCGATATACCCCCTCTTAATCCTTTCTCAATAAACAAGTGCATATCGTAATCTTTGAGTAGTTTTAGTTCTACGCCGGTCTTCTTCAACAATGCATCCCACGATAGTCCGGGACTGGAATAGTACCATGCCGGGTCCAAGCCGTATTGTTTTAAACATGTCTTTCTAAATATCTCGAATATATCGGCGAGTAACAGTACATCGGTTTTTAAGTACAGATCGTGATAATCACCTAAATTCTTACAACCTAATTTATCCCAGAGAGTCAGAGCGTGTTCATAATCGGCATAGGTTATTTTAGATTCTGTTAAGTTACTATAGAATGATTCAAGGGGTGGTAATTCAGTTTCTTCGAATCTAGACCAATCATCCATATATTCGTAAGGATATACACCTTTTCTCAGCAACAAATGACGAGTTATCTTATCGGTATTTTTATTTGTTATCGCAAAGTCATCGGGATTGTTCGCATTAGCTAAATTGTCCAGGGAAGATAACAGAAACTGTACGGAGTCTATGAATCTAAGCCCATTACTTTGCTTTATTCTAGATTTCCCATCCTTGTCCCTATAATGTATAGGTTTAGTCAACGAGAACGATATGTATTTTTCCATATTATTAGGAATGCACGTTAAACCGCCGTCAGTCTTTGAGATAGCTTGCATAATGAGATGTGAATCGTATCCCCTAAGGTTGTGAAACACAACGGGGATGGGTATTGTTTGAGAATTCATTTGTAGTTTCAAGTTACACACGTTATGCGCGGCTCCCCGATAATTACCCGTGACGTGGCAATGATCTCTTACGGAATCCCCATCCAGGGGTTTATTACAAACGTGACAACTCGTTGACTTCTTATGGGCCCTCCAATCATCCCTCGTCATACACATGGGTTTCTTACACGATAAATTTTCCCTTATTATTCTCTCTTCGTTGTGTAGATATTCTAGGAACTTTCCCGCTGCATCAGGACCTCTGTAAATCACGGGAGTGTTTGTTTTCCCATCATACCTTACAACTATATATCCAAACCCACAAGGAATATGTTCTTGAGTTTTGTACGTAAAACTACTATCAGTATTGCATTCAGTATTTTCTATGGGTTTGATATGCGCTTCGAAGTCGGCGTAAATTACGTACGGTACTGGCATTTGATTACAATAATGTTCAAATTTTAATATATTTTTTCCCTCTTTAGGCATATCGATCCTGATAGCATTCTGTCCAACACCTCTCCAGTCTTCTTTATGCGCTTCTAGTAGATCTTGTCTGCTGTACCCATGAAGGCATCTTTCCCAGAAATATTTCTTTCTAGCATGTTTTGTTTGATCGTATAATAGCCTGTTTAAACTCTTTATCCACGTATAATGATATTTTCCATCTTTTTCGACCAGAAATGAATTGATTCTGGGGATATGTTCCGGAGCGGAGCTTATCCTGTGTACAACAATTCCTTTAGAATGTCCGAAAACATTTATAGCTAAATTATTTTGCTTTTCCACCTTATCAATTTGTGATATTGGTGTAGGTTCGTCTATACCATCGAAGTTGAGTCCATCCTTTTGGAGATAGCTAGAAGGCCTATTTGCAATTTTAGAATCTACGGGGAACAATGCAGATCTTATCATCATTCTTAAACAATCATCGGATTTATTTTTTACATTAATTATGGCTTTTTTCTTCTTATAATACGGGGGTAAATTTATATAAGATCCACCTTTGAAAGGCATATAATTTGCTATATCTAAATATAAACTATCGATTTTATCCACACCCCAACGTTCTAAAGTTTCCTGTATCCTCTGAATTGATGTATCAAATGATGCGTTTATAGTATCGGATTCGGTTAAAACTCCTTTATTGCTACGGAAATATGGTTCGGTATATTCGGTGCTATCGTCTGTGTTACTTTTACTCAATAACATTTTAATCGTCAGCTGGTATTTTATACTATGTAAATCATCTAACTCCTCGTTAATTTTACTCGATATGATTGGCTTAATATCGTTAACATCCATGTTGGAATTAATATCCATCTTCCAACCTCTTAGATATTTACCAACGCCGGTGGATGATGTGGGTATAAATATTAATTCTTGTTGTTGTTGATTATTATCAACATCATCATCAACATCATCATTATGTTGATCATCATTATTATCTAGTAAAGCGATCAATTAAGCTCTTCTCATTCGAG